AGTAGAACCGTGGACGTGGTACATTTCTGGACGTTTCGCCAGCATCGTCAGTGAGCCTTGCCATTCTTAGTACCGGACTACAGATCGTCAGAGACAAGTGAAGCCGATGCCTTGACCAAGTGTCTACATTGTACCTAATCAAAACAAGTAGAACCACAATATGTGGGTTGGCACACAAGATACTAGGGCATAGGAATTCATAGACTTGGTACTAGGGATAGAAGCACGATAGATGCGGCGGAGACGAGCTAGTTGGCTAACAGTATACCTGTTTGATGATAGACGTGATACATGAAACAAAGACTCGACCATGAGAATTACTCGGGGTTTATTTGCCTCAAGTTAGTCTCCTATCAAACTTGAGAATCCTGATTTTTAGGGGCCTACTCAGCTAGGCGGGAGTATGCATGTCATCAAAGGCTTGAGACAGTGTGGGAAATAACGCTTCGAGTAGTACGGATAGGGTGGCAGTTGTCGAGTGAATACCTGGACCAGGAAGGTAGGAGGCGAATCCTACGGGGCAAGACTGGTAAAACCTATGGGAAGAGGATTGCGGAATAATATGACGGATTCGGATCAACATTCCCAGCACAAGGGTGAAAGGGAGTGAAGAAGCCAGGGTGGGGTTTGGAGAGTTCTCATGAAATCCGCTAAAAAGGGCACACCATACCACATTAAAATAAGTAATTAAGAAATTGTGATAGTTAAGGGGTGATACGAAGATATAGGATTGGTTAATAGCCAAGAGCAGGAGAAATACCACAATTGTTTAGCAGACAATTGGTCAAAGGATCGGCTTCAATTGTCTCTTTGACGAGTTCTAGTGTGGTGCTAAGAATGGCAAGACTCACTAACGATGCCTACTATGATTCCGGCAAAACATCTGGGAATGTACGATGTCCACCGTCCGATTCTGGAAATGATCATGCATACTATGGACTCACGAACTATGTGCGTTACTCTAGGTCTTCCTACCAATATGACCAAGTTGTGAAAATAAGGTCAGACAACTTCTAGGCTTCTTGGGTTCTTATTTTGCTTTACAGATCCTTCTCAAGAAAGAGGACTACATTTACGCTATCGTCCTAAAGAAGTTGACTCAGCTAAGGAAAAAAATGGAGGAATTTGAAGGTGCAATCAAAATAAATAGGAGCATACTGCAGTATTTGTTGTAGAACCCCCACCAAAGGCCACTACTGGGCACAAAGGTGGCCAGAGAAATAAAGTAGCCATGATATAAACCCTGGATTCCATGTCGATGCATAATATGACGTATAACAGCCAATGCACGAGACCATGCGCTTGCCATCTCATTTGCCGTCAGTCTGAGAGGCGTTAGTTGGCGTACGCGCTGAGTGCGCCGCTGACCGGTGCATTCACCAAGAGGCCCCAGGCGGACATCTTGGATTGTCGCTGCCGCCAGGGAGGATACCGAGGCGGCAGGAGCGGGGGTTAGAGAAGCAGAGGAATTTGAAATAGAGGGTAGCTTTTGTGAACATTGACTGAGTGTGCCAGAGGGCATTGGAAAGCCTCCGCTATTGGCTTTAGTCGGCTTCCGAACCCTGCTCATCAGCATCAGATGCTGCGAGACTACGTCAATCGGCACAACCAGACTTTGAGCCACAGCTGAAGCAGCACCACCTCCCAACACTGAACGTATAGTAGGCGTCAGCTGGGGCACTTGGGCAGTGGCGTCACGCACCCATTCGTAAGTGGTAACATAGAAAACGCCTTAAAGACGAGTGGACAAGTGAATGGTAAGGAAGTGAAGTAATGCGGTATGGCAAAAAGGGATAAAAAGTGGGTTAAAAAACAAGTCTAACTTAGACATGAGAATAAAAGGCAACGAAAATTTGGGATTCAAGTTCAAACTGAAAGATGTAAGTCTTATATTTCATTATTTGTTTACAAACTTAGCCTTGCTTGCAAGGTTAACGTAACTTTGACCAGTCAGCGACCTGATGCTGGAAAAAGAGATGCCTTTGGCAGTACGAGGTACATTCTAAGAAATGAAAACACGACGAAGTTGCGACAAAATCAGGCCTATCCATAGTAAATTTCGATGGTTTTTAATTAGATCCTGAATAAGAGCCGTGGCAAGCCAAATAAGCATAAAGCGAAGGGATAATCCAGCTATCAGTCCTTCACCAATGTGTGACCTAGGATGACTACAGTCCCCAAATCAGGTCTATACAGCGTCCAAATTGTAAGGCCTCGCCCATTTTGTGCTCGTATCTGCTGAAGATGTAATAGAACATAATAAGGCCAAAAAATGCCGGAAGCCATGCGGTTTACAACAAACCGAAGAATGACTAAGAATATGTATTTAATGTTCACTTTACGTGGCCAGGGCCAAGTAGACTTTATCAGGTATCCGGCAAGAGCATGCCAGAGCATATAAGTAAACGAACGAAATAAAGAATTTGTGTGGCTAAAAAAATAAGAAGTGGGTTGACCTTGTTGTCACAATTTGGTCTTGTTGTCAGAGTGACTGTAGAACGCACCTAGTCCAAAGTCGTCTGTCATATTAGTTT